AAGCAAACTTTCTTTTCTTACTAATTTTAAAAGCATCTTCTTTAATATGATGCCATCTTAATGTAAATAATCCCCCAAATGGGAAAGTGAAAAAAAAAAAAAAAAACCAATTTCAAAGATATTTTAAAAATCTGTATGACTGTTTTCCCATACTGGCAGCAAAACCCAGAAATAACATACATTATGTATTTTAAAATTTGCTTGGTAGTATTGTTTCCTTTTCATTTTGATAAGAACTGAAAATGGTTAAAATTTTTAAATTATGCTTCATTCAAGTAAATCTTAAAATTTTGCCTTCTTTTAGAAACAAAGACAAAAGTAGCATGTTTCTATAGAAAGAACCCTGGATGAGAACCTTAGAAGGCTTATATATGTATCTCATTGAAGCAACTTCCACAAAATCTACTAATTTACATCTTTGGATGTCAGTTTCCTTGTCCATAAAAAGAGAATATTATTTATGCTTGTTGGATCACTGTGCAAGTTACATAAAAAGAAAGCCAAGTGGTTAGAAGAGTAATGGTCACAGAGTTTATTAAGTTACAAGGGGATTAAATTAATAGTGCTCTAAGTGTTATAAGACAGTAAAAAGATGTTCAAACTTTTTCCATTTTATGTAAGATTAACAATAGTACAAGTGCTCCAAGATAGTACATAATTATTCAAGGTCTTCACATACTAACTCTCTTTGCCCTCACCTCTCCCCTCGTGCACATACATAAAGACTTAACCAAATAAGGAGAAAAATGAAAGATTATCATCAGGAATTTCCTGTCCCCCTCCCAGCTTCCACATATATACTTCTGGGATTTTTTTTTTTTCAAATAAATGACTGACAATCAAGTTTATGTTTAATTTGTAATCTTAACAGAAAAAGAAGTCTACTGAACTATATATCGGGTATGTTTTTGGCTAGTTTATCCTATTAGGTCTTTTTTAGCCTAGTTAAAATAAATATGCAGAAAGTGTCAGAATAACATACTATATTAGAATAAATTGTAAATCTTTCATGGAAATGAAATTAAACAAATTTATTTTCAAGAAAAAAATACATAATCCCACACTCAACCACAGAACTAATTTTCCTATAAACTCATATAGTCTTTGAAGTCAAGGTTGTGTAACATTAGACCTTAAGGGAAATTTAAGATCAGGGTAGTTTATTTTACATTCACTAAAATAAGGTTGAAGAGACAGAATGCTAATTAAAGAAAAATTTTTAATATACAAATTTATGTTAAAATATTATTCAATTAATTTCTATTTACTGCTTCTTTTTTTTTAAAGAGAGAGAGAGAGATAATTTTTAATATTTATTTTTTAGTTTTCAGCAGACACAACATCTTTGTTTGTATGTGGTGCTGAGGATAGAACCCGGGCCGCACGCATAACAGGCGAGCGCTCTACTGCTTGAGCCACATCCCCAGCCCCTATTTACTGCTTCTTGCTGGTTTCCTTTCACTGCCTAAATGTGCAGTAATGTTTATAAACTAGTTTTTATATCTGAAGTATTCTTCTTCTGGCGCAGATTCTCCACCTATATAATCAATGCTGTTGTGATTTCAAGATTTAGTGCTTTTTTCATTTTTCTTGTGTCCCATGGAGTTTCCACAGTACCTCTCCAAATATAATAACTAAAATGTAGGGAAAATTTATTATGTACTGTTAACTTCTAATAAGTGTGATGTACAGTTTCTCATTTCATATCACAATACTATTACAAGGGAGATGCTACTATTGCTGTCAATTTACAGGAACTTCCTCAAAGTCATAATAGCAGTCAGTGGTAAAATCCAGACTCTGACTCCATATCCAAGTCCTAGATGATGACCCTAAGATAATCCTCTGCTCCTATTAAGACCTGGGTTGACATTCCATCTCTCAAGACAACATTGGGAAGAAATCTCTATTCCTGCTTTGCTTGCTTCCTTTTCCTAAATATAACCAAGTAAATATACATTCAAGTAAATCCATATATAACACTAATTTTGTGTAATAAAAAATTGATGTTGCATGTAAACAAACTCAATTCAATAAATAATTGGGAACTACTATGTCTTAAATGTTTGGTATAAATCAGTGAACAAAACAGATTAAGAATCTTGCTGTAGCAGAGAATGAAAAAATAAAAAACTTAATAAACAAATGTTTATTTATACACACACACACACATCTATCACTTAAGGGTACAGAGAACTGGCAGTACTAGTGGAAGAGTAGGCAAATTGCAGTATTAAGTGAGGGGTAAGAGTAAATTGTTGAGAACACCGACTAAAGGACCCGAAGCATGTGAGTATTAGGAAGTACAACATAGCAGAGTATTCCAGGGGGTATTCTAGTGGTAGAGCGCTTGCACGTGCGTGAGGCACTGGGTTTGATCCTCAGCACCACATAATAAAAAAACAAAATAAAAGCATTCTGTCCATCTACAACCACAAAATTAAGTAAATAAATAGATAAATAGAAATTTTAAAAAAGGAAGAGCATTCCAGGTAGATGGGAAAGTGAATATAACAAAATTCAAAAGAGTATGGTGACAGTAGAGCGAACAATGAAAGAGAGAAATCTGTTTAAAATCTGTTTATAATCTTATAGGCAGCAGATCAGGTAGAATCTGGTAAGCCACCGTGAAAACTGGCTTTTAATGAAAAGAATAGGGTTAGAGGGTTTTGGGCAGAAAAATGCTGAGAACAGATTATATGGGGACAGATGAGTAAAGAGGTTATTAGAATAATAAGTAAGGTAATATAACCTAGGTGAGAGGTGGTACCTATTCTGTATTTGGAAGTAAACAGGATTTCCTGATAGATTGGATATGAAGTTTAAGAAATAGAAGTAAAATTCTTGGCTTAAACAACTATTAAAACTGAAACACTAAAGTAAAAGGATTTCCTGACAGATTGGATATGAAGTTTAAGAAATACAAGTAAAATTCTTGGCATACACAACTAAAGCTGAAACACTAATGGCAGATAAATAGAGCCATCTGAGGGTGGGGAAGAAATAAAGAGTACCTTTTTTGATCATGTTAAGTTTGAGATATCCTGAAAGCTAAGCAAAGAAGGGGTATTTAAGAAAGAAGTGATTACCTATATCCAATATTGAAGATAGGTAAAGAGGAGGACGACTCAGATTAGCAATTTAAAAGGTCATAGGGCACCTTGATTTCTTCCTAAGAGTTCTGCTAGCTAGCTACAAAGTAAAATGGGGGTAGAAAGGCTGGAGGTATAGCACAGTGGTAGAACATTTCCTTAGCAAGTGCAAGGTCCTAAATTCCATCGGTAATACCACAAAAAAAGGAAGACAAGGAGGGAGGTAGGGGGTGGGGAATGGAGGGCAGTAAGTGGTGGCACAACTAGGAGCCAAGAAAACCTAAGAGAATGTAACAGATATTTCAGCTGCTGCCCACCACAGGAAACAAAAGAAAGAAGTCTGACTGACAAAGTTAACTACCCGATCAAAAAAAAAAAAAGGAAAATGAGATACTTTTCAGAAGAAAACACTAGAATCCAAAATCTCTACAATATATCACTTAAAATGTTACTCATCATACTTAAGAATTAACAATCAAGGATTTCTGAAGCAGTTATACTACAATGATGCTCTAGGATTAAGTGGAAACTTGCTCATAAAAGAATAAATGACCAGGCACAGTAGTGCACTCCTATAATCTCAGGTTGGAGGATCTTACTAAGTTATCCAAATTCAAAGTCAGTTTAGGCAATTTAGTGAGATCCTATCTCAAAATAAAAAATTTTAAAAGGGCTGGGATGTACTTAGTGACAGCACATGCCAGGTTCAATCCCTAGTATAGCAAACCAAAAACAAAAGTTAAATCTCAGGAGAAAACAACCATGAAGCAGGAAAAAGAGGAGGGGACTGACATATAGCTCAATGGTAGAACATGTGCCCAGCTTGTATGAGGCCCTAGGTTCAATCCTCAATAACTCCCATTATTTTTTTTTTTTTTAATTAAAAATGAGGCAGCTAGAAGGGCTGGTGTTGTGGCTCAGTGGTAGTGCACTTGCCTGGCATGTGTGAGGCACTGGGTTTGATTCTCATTACTGCATATAAATAAATTTTTAAAAAAGAAAATAAAGGTCTATCAACAACTAAATAAAATTTTTTTAAAAAATGAGGCAGCTAGGTATAAAGGCATAAGCATGTAACCCAGCAACTTGGGAGGCTAAGGCAGAGGAGAGACTAGGCAACTTAAATAAAAATTTAAAAGGCTGGGGATGTAGCTTAGTGGTTCAATACTCCTAAGTTCAAAATATCTAAGACACTGGGAACTGAAATACTCTAAGGAGAGACAAGAGAGCTGGGCAGACAAAAAGGTAAAGAAACACTAGGCCAAATTTTTCCAAAATTTTATTTTAAAAATTTTAGACATTTGAGAAGTTCAGCAAATCCCAAGAATGATAAACAGAAAAAAATCATGACTAGGCACATAATTGATAAATGTCTTAAAATCAAAATACAGAATCTTCAAAGCCAGAGAGAAACGATATATATATATATATATATATATATATATATATATATATATGAATAATAATATAAATGACCTCTAATCCAAAATAACAGAAGTCAGAAGACTGTGGGATAGTATTTGAAAAAATTGAAAGAAGAAAACAATCAATTCAGAATCTTCAATCTAGTAAAAATATCTAACTAAAATGAAGTGAAGTAAAGACATCTGCAGAGAATGAGTGCTAAAAGAATATATCCTTAGCAGATGTGCACTAAAAGAAATGTTAAAAAAAGTTCTTCATGTGAGGGTAAATGAGACCAAATGAGAAATTGAATTGTTAGGAAAAATTAGAGCAACAAAAATTTTAAAAAGGTGGATAAATCTAAAAGTGACATTCCCCCCCGCCTTACTATATTTAAAATACACATAACTGTTTTGAATTCTGATTGACAGCTTAATTGTAAGTTAGTCTCAAAAGTGAATTCACCTTTCCATCCCCCTCTATATTTATAAAAAAATTCAGTACCTGTTTTAGTTTCAAAAAAAAATTTTCAGTAGTACTACGTTTGCTGAAGGGCCAGAATAATCTTTCATTAGGTGAGCAAACTCGAACTTTTGTCTCTAGGAGAAATCGAACAGGCTCTTGTACTTCTGTTATTACCAAATCAACAGCTGTGGTCATAAATAGCACTTTATCTAGAGAAAGTGAGAAAAATGATGAGTGAAACAAAAGATACAGAAATGCACTTAGTCATACTATTAATATAAAAGTAATTTTATCACAAACATTCAAGATATCTTATGATCAACCATCAACTAAAGAAACATACTGTCAGGTAGTTTTGTATACATGATTAATATATGGCTTCTTTTATATACCTCTCTCACCAACAGTCAAAATACTTTAGAATTGTTTTATCCTTTATCCACTATGTCACTACTAATAACATGAAAAACTGAAATGCTCAATGAGACAGACTGATTAAGCAAGTAACATTACATTTTCGGGACAGAATATTACGTTGCCATTAAAGATCATTTGGGAAGAGTATGAAATATTTTGAAAAAAGTTCTTTCTGTACAAAAATCTGAAAAGTTATATTTTAAAAAAAGAGCTAATAGTGATTCTCATTGGGTTGGGTGAGGATAAAGACTATGCTAGACTCACTTTGCGCTATATAGCCTTTGAATTTTTAATCATGTGCATAGATTATCTCTACAAAAATAAATAAAATTTAGAAGTATGATGAATATATAAATAGAAATTTAAAAAAAGAGGAAGAGGGAAAATGAAGAGAAGGAAGGGAAAATGAATAGCCAAAAATGGTACTTTGTTTAAAGGTCAAAAATAACAATAAACACAAGAACTATTCATTTCTTTGTTTCACCAGAATTGAGTAAATACTGGAGATAGGTCAAGCAAGATCTAAGTATTATCCTGAAACTAAAATTTCTGTTCATGTCAGCAATATGTATCACCTTTAGGAGTTTCTTCATTTACAGCTTGAAAATGTGGGGATTTGGAATTCCAGCTTCCAGTAATTACATATGATTTTCCATCTGAACTTTTACCCATAGACTCCTAACAAAAAAAAAAAAAAAGGGAAAATTACATCTTAATACTCAAGTGGATAAACAACAGCTAACCCATTTTGTTGCTTTTAAAAAACACTTAAATAGGAGTTGAAAATGAGGGTTTTTTTTGTTAAAGAAGTGCATGTGAATAATTATAGTTAAAGATGTGCCATTTATTTGTACAATTGTTCCTAAAAAGTTACATTTAAAGTAAATGCTTGAAAATCATACTAAATTGAATAAACATCAATTTTTAATCATATGTGCATGGATTATCTCTACAAAAATAAATAAAATTTAGAAGTATGATAAATTCTTCTGTCAAGTATATAATCACCATATACTTTTTAGTTTTGAAAATAAAGATTTCATCTAATAGCCTTAATCCTAATATCTCCAACTACTTGTAAAACTCATGGTAGTTTGCAAAAGAATTCTCTGATAAATTTTCTCCTTTTATTCTCACATCAATCTTAATTAATTATTTTTTAATTATCACTGGTAAACAATCAAAAACCAAAAAACTAGATAATTATTAACACTAGTACACAGTCCAGAAACAAAAGCTGAGATGTTTATCCAAGGTCAGACTTCTAAATACAAATGCTAAGAATAAGGAAATCCCCTTATCTTTGTGTATTGTTTTATAGCTTACATATAATACCTTCATCAACATGTTCTAACATTATATTCTGATGATACAGTAAAACAACCTTTCCTACAGAAATAGTATTAACCTTCCAGTACAAAAAATAAATTCTCACCAAATCTAACAAATGCATATCACTGTTTCGTACATCTTTTCCTGGACTAAGGAGAACGCCAAAACACCTGTAAAAAAAAGAACTGCCATAAATTTTGGGGAAAAGACAAAGTACACTAAATGTTTAAGTTGGATCACTTTTTAAAAAACTTCTTATGGGGGGAAAAGGACACTTATTAGAATTAGCAATAAATTAATGCTGATCAAATGATAATTTTCATTTCTTTAACTTAAGTAAATTCTATTTGTCTCTTATTACCATGTAATTGAGATTCACATATTAGTTAATAATTTACTTTGAATACTTCAAAATAAAGAAGTATTTACTTCAATAAGCAAAAATAATCCTAGGACAAAAAAATTTACAAATACATTTTAAAAAGTGTTTCTCTCATTAGGTTTTTAAAAATAAAAAAATTTTATTTACGCTAAACTTACTAAAATTGTTTACCTTTCAATGGCAAGTTCTTTATTAGTTGTTTGTTGTACATAGATAACAATCTTCTTATCAATTCCTTGGCGTAGTTTAAAGCATTGTCTGTCCTTGTCTTTGGGAACAGCACTGTAGACAAACATATTTCAATGATTTTTGCAAAGTGTTTTCCTGCGACATACTAAAACGATTTTTATAAACAAAGACCTCAAATCTCTAATTCTTTTTTCTATGACTAGTTTTATAACACCACCACCACCATCAACAAAAAACACTGCTGTGTCTCCTAAAATGTAGATTTATTTTTTAGTCTTTTTTGTGGGGGAGGGTGCTAGGGATTGAACCCAGGGCCTTGTGCATACAAGGCAAGGACTCTACCAACTGAGCTATATTCCCAGCCCTATTTTTTAGTCTTTTGTTGTAGTGAAAATTAAATACTTGCAAAGTACCTAGCATAGCAACCGGTATATTTTGTAATTGTTTTTACAAATAAATTATTATTGCCTAATTTGTTTAAATATATAATGATCAAAAAGACAATCATAGACCCTTTGAGTATCAAAACAAGTTATTTTTAAAAAATAATAGGAATGAGGAATAGATGGCCAATGATAAGCTGCTAACATTTCTCTTAAGCAGTGATAACCTTATTATAAACCTGTGTAACTAATTATAAAAACACTGACGACAGTTTATAAGCATCAGCTTAATAAAAAAATAAAAAATGTTCTTAAAATAACAGTTTATCAAAATAATCCCTTAGTCTCCCACACATCATGTTCCCTAGCTCCTTTGTTCTCAAAGACAAAAACCTGTATGTGGTAATCAAATATAAGTCTAAACTGTATTTTATTTCTGTAGAACTTTTAACATAATGGCAACAAAACAATTAGTAGATACAATATATGGCTATATTAAAGCTTTAAGTACCTACTAAAGTAGGTACTATATTAAAGCTCTAACCACCTACTAAAGGTGGTTCTGAAAAATTTTGAAACCCATCTGCATTTGTATATTAACAAAATTAAGAACATTTTATAACAGATTACAAAAAAATATTAACAATGCAGTGTAGAAAGGACAAACATGTTCAAAGAAAAATTTTGCAGAGCAAATTGCTTAATATTCATGGCAAATAAAATTCTCACCTGAGATGGAAAGGAACTCAACTTCAACTATCAGTAATGATACTGTTCTCTAAGTTCTGTGGGTATTGAAGTTATAAGTAAATAAAATCTCATCTTTTAGCAATTTAAACTAGTATATATAAAGTTGTTTCCTGACTCTAAAAGGACTACATCAACATATGAGTTTAAAGTATAATCAGTGAACCTGAACAAATGTCAGGGGCCTCAATCATATAATTGTGTCATTGAATGGATCCGACACTTAATTCCTGTGGTAGAAACTAAGAAACCAAGGTCTAGGCTTAATTTCCCTGATTTTCTTTACCTATAAGAAAAGCATAATACTAACTACCCAATTTAACTTATGAGGTTGCTTAGTAATTTAAATACTCTGTCTCTCTCTCACACACACACAGGAGAAGTGCTTTGAATGGTATAAATAAATAAAACTGCTTTCAATGGTATAAATATAAATGAGGGCTAAATTAAGAAGATAAAAAGTATAATAATGAAGAATTATTTTTTCAGAAATAAGGAGGGAAGAACGCATTCATTCTTCCCAATGCACATTATCTAAATTTATGTTATAAAAAATACCTGATTATCAGACTTGTGGTTAATTTCATACACATACATCTCTGGAATATATGGTAAATCATATGGATATACCATCATATTTTAATCACTCCATTCTGTGAATATTTAATTTCCATTTTTTAATTTTGTTATTATATACAGTGTTAAGAAGAACATTCATGTGGATTAATTTTTTGGGTACCTGAATAATTATTTCTATATATAAATTCCCAAACATATTAATTACTAGATAAAGGCACTGCATTAGACAAATTCAATCTGACAAAGAAAAGCATATTTTCTAATAATTTCATCACTAGACTGGGTTAACAATAGTATTACCTTAAACTTTAAGTTCAGTAAAATCATGCACCAAAAAGATGACAAAGGCCTAACAAACAAATGATAAGCAAATCAGACCACCTAACAATTTTCTGTAAGAAAATCTCCTTGATCTGAGGATAAATAGGGATGTTTATGAAATTTTACAAGAGGAACTACATAAATATCTTCAAAAAATAAGTTTAAAGAAATTACTTTGTTTTTTTTAAAGGAAAAATATTAAAAATGGTATTAACTGCAATATTCTTTTCCCAGGGCATGCATGCACACTGTAGGAATTATTACCTCATGGTATTGCTTTCAGACTGGAAATGTAGCTAATGAGAAGGCACAGACAAAATGTCTACCATTTTAGTCCTCAAACAAAAATTGATACTCCAGTATATCCTAAATTGGCCACCAGATGGCATGAAAATATCAAAGTTTGAAAGGAGACCAAGGGTAACGATTTTTCCCACAATTGAGTCACTGTGCTTTTTAATTTAAAAGCAATTAATAAACAACATTTATATTTTTATATCATTTCATTTTACACATTTTATGAGAGTTGTGGAGGAACAAGAACTTGTATCTAACTATGACATTGATTATGATTCTAATAAACACTCATTTTGTAATATGTGATATATAAAGGTAAAAACTCAATTTGCAACCATAAAACTTTAAAACAAGAAAAGATTTGAGAGTTTAACCTCTTGTTTTATAAGTAAGGAAACTACTGTCAAGTGATGTGAAGAAACTTAGAAAAAGTCATACTGTTAATAGTGGCAATAATTAAACTAAACCTGCTTTTATTTTTATTCCAGGGTTTTCCAACAAATAATTATTTCGCTTAAAAACCTAAACAAGTTATTTTCAACTCTCTATATGGTAGGTCACACTTCAGACAAAACCTTCCTTCTACTGTGTCCAGATAAACTTTAATGCTAAAACTTGATTTCTAAAGCCTTAAGCTTGGACTGGGGATGTGCTCAGTGGTAGAACACTTGCCTCACTTGTGTGAGGTACTGAGGTCAATTTTCAACACAAATATAAATAAATGAATAAAATAAAGATCCATCAACAACTTAAAAAGTTTTTTTCTCTTTTAAAAACAGCCTCACGCTCTTCAAATAAAATCAAGTAAACCAAACGAATCAACCAAACAAAAACAGCAAAACAAATAGAGCTACTTACTGATCTAGCTGACTGAACTTTAGTCACTTTTTTTTTTTTTTTGGTATGAGGGACAATCCTAGGGGCACTTAACCATATCCTTAGCCCTTTTTATTTTTTATTTGAGACAGAGACTTGCCAAGTTGCTTAGGGCCTTCCTAAGTTGCTGATGGTGGCTGTGAACTTTAAGATCCTCCTGCCTCAGCCTCCTGAGTTGCTGTGATTATAGATGTGTGCCACTGTGCCTGGCTAGTCATAATTTTTTAGAGTAGTCAGCCAACTACTTTGAGGTCACATGGATTTTTTATTGCCTGAAAATTCTTCAAATTTTGCCTCTATAAATTTCTTTCTTTTCTTTTACCATTTACATTTAAAAAGTAACCCTCCCTGTAAAAGCAATAATTTTATGGTATGAAAGGTATATGTGATCTGCCTTGGATTTTCCCTTGAATGACATATAATAGAGCATGCTAATACAAACTCAATAAAATTAATAAAATAATGTGCCCTACCTAAAATAACCTTTACCATCATCTTCTTTTATTTCTAAAGACACAGAAAAGGTAAAGATATCACTGTCAGGAGTCTGTGGTGCAGCAGTAGCTGAAAGTGGGGTTTGCTTGGCAGAACGACGGAAGGCAGTGGCAAAACTGTAGAGTATCCGGCTTACCTGAAACCAGACATGTTAAGAAATGCGCTGTTATCATGAGACACTGTTTTGATTAAGGCTAGAAGGTGATCAACTTTTGAAGGGGAGTAATCATCTTCCCCCTACTAATAAGATACTTTTGGAAAATTATCTAATTTGTTAGGCCTCAAAAGCAAATACCAAACCTCACCAGAAAGTATTTTTTTCCCTAAAAAAAGAGAAAAAAATTAGAAATCCAAGTGATAAATCACTTTCTGTTAGAAGATATCTGAACACATATATTATCATAAAAAATAGTTTTAACAATTTTTTTCTTTTTGTCATACTAGGAATTGAACTCAGAGCCTTGGACATGTTATGCAAATGCTCTACCATGAAGTTACACCCTCAATAGTTCTAATAAATTTAGCTCTAAAAAATGGTTTGCAAATATGTCACTGATGGCACCAGGATGCTTATCTAACCCAATCAAGTAGCAGCTAACCAATTTCCTCTGTCACTATCAGTCACAGAGGCAAATAGTGAAGTTTCATATTCACGATTTTCTCTTAAAGACTTACAGCTTCTTGGGATGGGGTTGTGGCTCAGGGGTAGAGCATTTGCCTAGCACGTGTGAGGCCCTGGGTTCGATCCTCAGCATATATAAATAAGTAAATTAAATAAAGGTATTGTGTCAACTACAACAAAAAAATTAAAAAAAAAAAAAAAAATGATGAAACTGTTTAGCAATAGAATTGCAGTTATTTTCAAACATCTTTTTTCGCCTAGCATGTGTGAGACCCTGGGTTCGATCCTCAGCACCAACATAAAAGTAAATTAATAAAAAACAGGTATTGTGTTCAACTACAACAAAAAAATTAAAAAAAAAAAAAAAAGACTTACAGCCTCTTGTATTTCACACCGAAAGACATGTATTCTGAAGAGCTCTGCATTATAATGACTTTCTGTGAAAGCAAAACAGTCACTCTCAGGAGTTCCATCATGCCCTCTGACACAAAAGAGGATTTTGTAGATAGGGTAGTTTGCTATTTCAGTGTTTGTCTGAGGATCTAACAGTCTGTTCAGAAAAAAAAGACAAAGAGATTAGAGGCATTATGAACAATTTGCAACATATTCATAATATGATTCAAGACATCTTTCTAGCAAGATAACCATACAGGACTTTTGTATGCTAATCCTATTAAATTTTAGAAAATAAGTTGTATGTAGAATACTACAGTGATTAATTATATAGTTCCATGTTACTAAAAACTAGTCTCATGGCTTGGGGAGGCCAATAGAAAGGTTTGAAATAATATCAATAAGCACATGTTTCTTCTGCAGCCTGCAACTAAGTAGAGACAAGGTCCATTGGTAAATTAGACTATAAAGTAGATCAGTAAAGTTGTGTTCTGATTATAATTTCAAAGAATTACCTAACATGTATTATTATTTAAGAAAATAGAAAAACTAAGGTCTTTTTCAAGAGTGAAGTATGTTTTGATTCATGAAAATAAGGGGAGATTATATAAAATGCTAACTCCTGAAAAAAGTAACGAATAAAATAAAAAGGATGCCATTCACCCAAGTCTATTAATTCATCAAGTATTTGTGTGATACTTAAAATATTCCATTCAATGTTCAGGGTACTAAGGACACAATTGTGAAAA